GTATTGTGGTAATAATACTAATTTACCACTCAAGGTCTTTTGTTAAGGCATGGACTCCATTTTTAATGCAGCATCCACGGAGAGTAAATATACAAGTGCACCTGATTTCATGCTGCATCGGCATTATAATGAAGATCGCAAAGACTAAAGTCGTGTCACTCTAAGAGGGCACAGACTGACTAAATGGAGCAGATGATGGACCAAAACGATTGTTACAGGATACTTGCTGGCACAATTATGTTGCCTTGTTACTTCTGTCCTTCAAATAAATGCAATAATTCCGCGTTACCAAGGTGCTCGTGATAGCCAAATGACCGACACAGCAAACAAATTGTTCGGTAATACTTGTCAAGAAGCTTTGATTCTTCTTTTTGCTAAGGAATGGCCAAACGTTTGGCGATCAAAGGTCTTTCTGTCTATTATCACTTCATAAAGCTTTAAAAGCCATTTACTTAAGCAACAATAATGCACTTTGTAGGCGGCTAATCGTGCCTTTACATTTCCCTAGAAGGAGAGTATAACAAGACTAGTCACTTATAGCGTCAGTAGTGTAAGTTGTCAAAATTTAGGTTATCGCAATGCGGCTGTCAGATTGGCGCCAGCACGTGCTTCAGTTTGCTCGCTCTGATCAGCGGTAAACTCATTTCAGCCCCACCGACTCTGAAGCTGTGGAAGAGGGTAAGAGAGCATTCACGAGACGTCTGCTTCGGTGACTTATGGAAGCTACTCCACGTGAAAAAATTTCCCTTCGGCCCGTTTATCAACCTTTGTGATGATAGAGAGGAGATAAATGTAAACCTATAAAATTGCTACTTGGCGTATATGAACTGATGCACAACTTGTAAACCGGATGCAGGTGACTTGCAGCAAATAAACATGTGAATTATAAATGGGATTATTAGTTTGTATTCTGCGAACAGTACGGCACAGTTCAAGCGGCTTATTTTTCATGTACAGTGTTTTATTAAGTCGACCTCATGCATCTGATGTTAACAACATCGACGCTTTTGTCATACCTTCACTAATTTGCGGCAGAGTGATAAAGTCTTTAATCGGCGTTTCAGGTTTTGATTCACAAGTCACGGCTTCTTTTACGCCACCGACTGCTATCACTTCCGCCTAAAGGCAAACTAAAAATATGGATTAGTGCTTTCAAATTACCTCTTAACGCAATTTTTAGGCTCAGCAAGAAGAAGGGAAGGATCTCAGAAACCCTATTAAAAGAATTTCCCGGGAGTAAGAGTATA